CGTAGGCTGGCTGGAGTGGGCTGGATGAGAGTAGCACAAAATCGGGAGCAGTGGCGTGCATTAGGGGAGACCCATGTCCAGCAGTGGACGAACATGGGTTGATAATGATGATGATGATATAATATATGTGTTTTCGCTTAAATTCGCTTAGCTAGTGCGTTTCCTCTTCATGTTAATTTCCGCCACAATAAGTGTCTCCTATATAAAATATGACTTATATAAACTCGACAGCCATCACATTGTTTATACAACACCCCACACCAATGTAACTAATTGTTGCTGGCACTCATTATGAAATTGAGTTGAGGGGTGCTCACGCGATTTTTCTAAATGAAACATAGAGTTACCAAATAACCACGAACATGTTTACGACAACAAGTTAATGGTAGATGTTATCGGAGTACAACTTGTTTAGTTAGTATATTTGTTTCGATCAATTAAAGAAATATGTTAGAAGTAACATTAACAATTTCACATCATAAAACTATAAAATACACTAACTAATTTTATATGTTAGAAGTTTAAAAAATACGTACGTAATATTATAAATGTAATATGTTACGTTTTTACTTTGGAAATTTATTGTAACTAACTAGTGGCCCGCCCTCGCTTCGCTTCGGTGTAGAGCTGTAGTGTAAACTATACTTTTTGTTCTCAGGCTTGTGCTATAAAGAATGACTTTATTTATATAAATACACGTGTTATTGTGAGTCAACCATAAAAGATAGACATATGCTGTTGCGGGATATTTTTTAGACAATTTTATCCTTACACGCCTGAATAGCTCGCAGATTGCAGAATTTATTCAGACTTAAATGACATTTATCGTTATATTTTGGACAATTCACACAATATCTTTATAAATTATAGCCTATGTGTTATTCTGATCTATAAGCTACATTACTGTAAAGTTTCATTAAAATCCGTTTAGTAGTTTTTGCGTGAAAGAGGAACAAACATCCATCCATACATCCATCCAAACAAACTTTCGCCTTTATAATATTAGTAAGGATGTGTTATTCTGATCTATAAGCTACATTACTGTAAAGTTTCATTAAAATCCGTTTAGTAGTTTTTGCGTGAAAGAGGAACAAACATCCATCCATACATCCATCCAAACAAACTTTCGCCTTTATAATATTAGTAAGGATAGTAAGGATGATGTTTACGTCCTTGAAATTTGTACTAGAAATAGAGTTAGTAAGGGTTGTATTTTTACAAGATTATATTCTATTTTTACTTTATGGATACTGATGACTTTTAATATAAGCGTGATATTCACAGCTGCCACAATTCCTTCTGACTCTGACACTCAATTCATTTCTTGCTAAAATTAATATTTAACTTTATCAAAACTAAAATGTAAGTCAGACTAAATTTAACTGTCAGTTATTTTATTAACGGCCCTAGTTTCTATTCTACCCGTTTCGGTCGAGTAATTTGACCTACAAATAAATTATGCCGAAATAATAAGTCGGCGGTAATAAACTAAACTCATCAAATGCCATCCGAACCGCACTAGTGTTGTGACTAATTAATGTAGCAGTGACTGCGACATATCGATGTATCGATGCTTTATGAATAATACATTGCATATAGCGTCGGCTATGACCGTGCCGGGGTGATTAGATTGAGAGTGAGTCCATTATATGTTGACGGCAGCTATTTGTCATGTCGTCTCGCGTCAATTTGACCGCTTCATTTCTTGAATCCGATTATTTCAGGAAGCCTTGTTTATGAACATAACAATGTAGGAGTAACTGCAAATGTATATATTACATAGGAAGAATTTGTGTAAGCCATGTAAGCCAATCCACAATAATAATAACTGTATGTTTAGGTTAATTTTAAAAATCATATTTGTTTCTTAGGCTTACACGCACATTACTCATTAAATAAAACTGGTTTTAACGGGTTAATGCACGAAACTTTATTTATTTATTTATGTTTCACAGCCTTTTCAGGTCTGCTTCGTCAGAATGAGTTTTATTTAATTTTGTCGAGCTACCTTCGAAAGACTTTTATTGAGCGTTCGGTTATTTCATTGTTAGAATTTTAAAGTTTTATTGTCTATGTATGAATTTATTAGTTAATTTAGTTAATAAAGTACTGTATTTAAAATTCTTGTTTGTAATTTTGAGTTTATTTATTTGACCCTAACTATCGTAAACTACCACCGGTTCCAAAATTGGGAGACCTTTCTGAAAAGAACCGGCGAAACAAACTCAAGAGAGGCTTTCTATCTCCTTTTTATGTTAAATTATGCATTATTTTAACATAATTTTGCAAATAATATGCCTCACCTTGCTATAATGGATTGTATGTGTAGACCCATTTTTTTAAAAGTTAAGTAGGCAAATGACTCCACCCCACCTGATGTTATGTGGTGACATGTCTTTTATTATTAAGCATGTCATTGTAACTTGTGAAATTTCACTTTGTGTTTTTAAAACCTACCCAATGTCTAGACAGTACATGGGATATAAACTTATGTAGAATATGCGAAAAACTTTAGTGTATGCACTGAGACCAAATTCATATAATACATATATACCTTCAAATATGTATATATATAAGATTTTTTAAGTAGAACTTTAGTAAGCATAACTTTTTGAAACGTCTTGCGCTTTTAAGCCACGTCGCTCATACTATGAATTTAATATAACTTTAGAAAGCACAGCGCCCTTTGCACAACTTTATTAAATTTAAAAATACAGTATATACCTTGAATTTTCAGTTACCTAAGAAACTTATCTAGCTAATTCGGATAAGGGTTTAGGTGAAATTTACGCTAACAAAACATATATTGTTTAACTTTTTTTTTCGAAAAATGTCTGCACCTAAACTCACTAATTGTGTAATTATGAAAGTTTGACTATTTTAACTGTCATAAATTGATACAAATAAAACTATTTTTAAAATCTACTTACTTTAAACGAACAATAATCCCATAATAGTATGTTATTTACCAATTAGCGCCGTTTTAAATATTTTGTAAAGGGTATTAATCTATATTTTTGTGTGAAGCTAGGGTGCAGTATGTTTAGTGTTTATAATTGTTCATGTATTTTTATTTGCATGATTTCAGCTTACCCAAAATTGATGGCAAATAAAATACAAGTAATAAAATAATAAGTTACAAACAAATAAAATATTGTTTATGATATATCCTAGTTTTTTAATTTCTTCCTAGATCGGATATGAAGCCAATGTAGAGAAAAAAATTGTTATATTTTTGTCTACAGGTATAATTAATACAATTTTGTATGAAAAGATAAAAATTGGACATTGATAAAGGTAGCGACTAAATATTGGAATATTAAATAACTTTAAAATAAATATGTAAATTACTAACATTGAATATGTTACATAAATGTGCTCGTTGTTTCAGGCAATATTTATTTATACCACAATTGACACTGACAAAAAACATCTCCGAATATTTTGTGTATTTAAACAATAATATTATTTAAACACACAAAATAGATTAAAACTACTAAATTAACTAAATACTTATACCAAACTAAAAATAAAACTATATTATGTAAAAAATCGACTCCAAATCGCTGCGCCCAAAAGACTGGCTGTATTTCCCCGTTGAATGGCCAGGCTAAATAAATTAAAATTTGTCTATTGCTTGCTTATTTCGCGCTAAAAATGTGAAACAGAATTGTAAATAATTATAAAACTCAAAATTTTAATAGATCTCCTGAATAAAGTAACAATATTCCACTTTATAACAGCTGTTCAATGTTCCCTATATTCCAATTAGTGAATATCCTAACCGTGATCATTCATCGAATCGATAAATACAAACTTGACCCCATCACTAACTAGTGCCGTGTTTAAGTTTATGTAATTTCCTATGGGATACGGGATATATTTGACGATGCCCAGCAAACTGTGAATTATTAACCTTTCCCGGGCCTATCGGTCATTTTGACCCAGAATTACATTTGCCGGCGTGCACAAGTACAAACAAACACGGGTTGATATTGAAATCGTTCTCATGTATTTTGATGTTTCGTTGGGGATCGACTGCTGAAGGGTTATGCGATGATGTACGCATTGTGTATTTATATAGCGTTTATATAAACAGTCATACATTTTAAAGGTTCAAAGTTATTTTATGATTTGTCATACTGAATAGCAAAAGATAAAATGCTACTGGTTGTCCGAAATGGGACATTTTTGGTTAAAGACTTTGTGAGTTTCTACTTTTAAAGAGTAGTTATTGGACTTTTATGGTTAAAGTCTATGTTTCTGGTTTCAAAGAGTAATTGTGGTATTCAAATGCAGAAAAGTATGTGTACATTTTTTTTACAATGTTATGTGTTTAAAAAATTATCTAATAAAAATATTAGCTTTTTGCCATCCATCTCGCTGCTAGAAGATCCATTCTCCATACAACTCTGTGCAATTTTGTACGTCAAGTATTTTCATTGCATTGAATTCAACAAAAATATAAATGGAGTTTATTATTCACCTGTACCACATAAAATGTCATTCGAACATTTAAATTAATGGCAACACAGATAAATATATTATGATTAATGTGCATCTATAAGTTATTAACAAATAATTACGGAAATCACCTCATTTTTAATACAACCAACGCTTAAAAAGATATTTAGGTAGGTGTACAAAAGTTTGTCCTTTATGTATTTTAATAGAATCATTTGAAATATGTTTATAATGAGTAATATAAATTTTATATCAATTTTTTATAAATTTGTTTAAAAGCAATCGCATAAAGAAATCACCTACAACATTACTGTTTGTTTCCTCGTAGCAACGCACATGTCTACGGTTTTGCTACGGAAGTCGATCATTGCTACGAATACGACTACGACGCCAAGAGATCAAGTGTTTGTGGAAATATTCATTTTGTTCAGCCATTATCATGATTTACAGTGTATTTATCATAATTTTTTGCTTTTTTATCAATTTCTATCAATCAAATGTGTACCATAATGTATGGCGTAAAGTGTGTGATTTACCTCCTCTGTTTTCACTGTCCGCCGGTTTCACCTGTATTGCTCGGTTCATCTGAAACAAGATACACAGTCATTAATATCTTTTAATTATTATCATTGAGGAATAATAAGGATTTTTTTTTATATCAAGTGTAGTTTGTTACTACAATAATGGCACAGTGATGGGCTTTGCAGCTGCATATAGAACGTCGACTTACGAAAACCGCTAAGCAAGTTACTAAGTTATTTACAGTCATTACTTTAATAATAGTAAGTTACTACAGCGAAGCGCAAATCCTCCTAACGTTACAGAATGTGGAAGTTTGCATGTTTGCGTGCTTGTAGGGTTTTTACAGAATCATGCAAAAAATATAGAAAATTGATACCCATAACTTTTAGTATCTAGATTTTCAAAAGTTCCTGAGCGATTTTTAAAAGCCTTACGGTTACGCATGCAAAGTCGTGGGCGGCGGCTAGTTAAAAATAATATTTGTTCTTTCTGAATATTAATTTTAGAGATTAACTATAATGAATTTTAGAAATGAACTATGGCAGTACAGTACACCGCGGTCTTATACAATTAAGACCTCGAGGGAACAATGGAAAGCATGATTTATATATATCTTAAAACAAGTTGTCATACGTAAATAATAATGACAAGTTTTGTAATAACAATATGCGAATGAGAATTGTCGGTGCATTGTCTTTCATTTCCAATTCAAATTTCACGAAAATTGTAACTGATTTCAAAATCACTTAGTCAAATACAAAACCAAACAGACGCTATTTAATGGTTTAGAAATAAGGCTATGAATACAAACATATTATATTTCGCATAAACGACAATACAAATTTACATAAAATACAGTTCGGCTCGTTTGGAAATTTCGCGTGAATTCTAATAAGTGTTAATTTTAGCAATAATTTATTCAAAATTAAACGATTCTGTTGACGGGTTTGCATAATTAGTTGTGGCCACGGCAGCTCGTTATTCCATTGCGGTGGTTAAGCTACTTTCGCAAAGGCGGATAATCGGATGGGTGCCCAAAGGTTTGTTTTAATGAACTCGTTTTGCATTACATTCGTGGATGGTTTGTATTAAAATGCTTAACTACGTCTCAGTTACTGTTACTTTACGGATACCCTATCATGTATGAAGAATACAGATAAAGTATTCGTAAGTGCTGGTAATTAAAAATCTGAAGTATCAGGTAGATCCTATTGTACATTACCAGCGTATTTGTGATTTGTGATTTTTTCAAGATTAAATAAAAAAAATATAATTTTTATTATTTTTAAAGCATGCAACTGCTTGATGTTTAAATCTAAAGAAAATATAACTAGAAAAAAAATCCACGCGGACCATTGTGGGTTACCTATAATACGAAGAGATGGCGCTGCCTTGCAGCTTAAGAATGGAGAATTTCGACTAGGTCCGTGAGGGCCGCGGTAGCATAATTGGTCAGTGCATTCGCCCGGGTTGCGAAGGGTGCGGGTTCGAGTTCCGTCTGCTGCCTGGTCCACGTGGAATTTTTTCTAATTATATTTTCTTTAAAAAAATATTACTTTGTCTTAACAATAATTAAATATAAGCAAATAAAAAAAAAGTTTTTTTAATGTACTCTTTAGATATATTGAAGAGGTATTTTGCAAATTCAGAACATTCTGAGCACAATCTAACACGATATTCATTTTTTGTCCTAATTGAAACCAAAACAATTTGAAAATATACCCAAATAATTGTGGCAGAAAATTTCTATGAAGACGAAAAAAAACACCAACATACTCTCATTACTCATGCAACGAATATATGTTACTCAACTGTCATGAAGTTTGTTGCATATATTTCTCATCTAGTGTTTCATACATCATCATCATCATCAGCCTATTAATGTCCCCACTGCTGGGGCACAGGCCTTCCCTATGGATGGAATAGGGAGATTGGGCCATGACCCACCACGCGGGCCCAGTGCGGATTGGTGAGTGCTAACGACTGCAGATGCAGCCGGGACCAACGGCTTAACGTGCCTTCCGAAGCACGGAGGAGTTCGAGATAGCAGATTTTTGGTCACCCATCCAATGACCGACCACTGCGAAAGTTGCTTAAGTTCAACGATCGCAGCCGAACGCGCTAACCACTTGCGCCATCGAGCTCCTCATAATAGTTTCATACATAGCTTCGTGAAATTCGCCTTCAGGTGGTTTGGACTACAACGATAATATCGGTCAAATTAACTGGAACGGGCCAGAAAGAGAAGAGAACATATGCGCTTATAGGAGGCGGAGCGTTGAATGGCACACCTCTACAGCTCTAGGCATCAAAACCTATTTGCTGGACTGTAAATTTTGATGCTTAAACGAAAAAAATGACAGAAAAAAGTTTAAATAAAACTAGTTTTAACGGGTTAATGCACGAAACTTTATTTATTTATTGACGTTTCGCAGCCTTTTCAGTTCTGCTTCGTCAGAATGATTTTTTTATTATCAAACAAACAAACAAATAAAAAACGCCTGCCTGGTCCGCGTGGAATTTTTTCTAGTTAATATTTTCTTTAGATTTAAACATCAAGCAGTTACATGCTTTAAAATAATAAAAATTATAACTATAATTGCTATTTCATCTTTCAAATGTTTAATACTTGTAAAAGTATTCATTTGACATTGTGGGTTACCTATAATGCGAAGAGATGGCGCTGCCTTGCAGCTTAAGAATGGCTAGAAGAATTTCGACGCGGTCCGTGAGGGCCGCGGTAGCATAATTGGTCAGTGCATTCGCCCGGATTGCGAAGGGTGCGGGTTCGAGTCCCGTCTGCTGCCTGGTCCGCGTGGAATTTTTTCTAGTTATATTTTCTTTAGATTTAAACATCAAGCAGTTACATGCTTTAAAATAATAAAAATTATAACAGTTAAAACTAGTTTTATTTAATGAGTGATGTGCGTGAAAACTTAAGAAACAAATGAAAAAAAAGTTTTCTAACTATTTCGATGTTTGGAACTGGGATGAATTATTTCTCAAAAACGCTTTAAGTTTCTACCAAACATAGGTATCGATGTTGATTCTCATTCATCTGTCGTTCGGAATATCAAAACCTTTTTGCTAAATAGTAACTTTGATGCTCAAAAAATAAAAATACTGGGATGTTTGAAATCGGAATGAATTATTTCAAAGATGTTGTCGTATTTTCAATTGTTCGACTTTTATATTGTTACGTAATATTATAGATATTAACGGGATTGTTACCATGTACCTTGTTTTTTATGAGTCTCTGATATTTCGGCACTGTTGCAAGCGCCATGATCACGGAGTAACTCCGCTAATAATGTTAGTGACCATGAAAGTTTAAAACAATATATTGTTACGTAATAATTTTATTTTTTGGTACTCACTGATTCATATTATACCCAAAAGATTTCAAGTAAACAGGACTATTAAAAATAAACTATCCAAAACTAAACATTTAAAATAAAAAGACGACCTCCGTGGCCAAGTGGTTTGTACGCCGGGTTTCATGGTGTCGCTGACTCGAGAGGTCCCGGGTTCGGAACCCGGTGGGGGCACTTGTTTGTGTGATGAATACGAGCATTTGTACTCCAGTCATGGATGTTTAACATGTATATCTATATAAATATACTTATATATGCACAGCATATGTATTCTATCCGTTACCCTGGTATCCCATAATACAAGCCTTATAGTGCTTAGCTTGGGGCTAGGCTAATTGGTGTGAGTGTTGGAAATATTTATTATTTATTTATTTATTATTAAATTACTACCTCGTTAATATTACAAACTAAATGAGAACAACTTCACTCTGTTACTAGCTTTTATTTAACTTGCTATGTATGTTTGTTACGGTCAAATCTTACAACTCAATTTTAAAGCACTTGCCCTCAACCGATTAAGCTGAAATTTGGTATGCTCGTTCAGTTCGGATGACAATGCATGCTTAACAGTGTGACGTCATTCTAAATCCAATATGGCGGCATACCCAAAATGGCGGACCAATCATTTTTAATGCATTCCTACAATATCAAATTAAACGGCTTGCTGAGAGTAACTCGAAAAAAATGTGACGTCACTCTCAATCCATTATGGCGGACTTCTAAAATTTAAAAATCTATTTAGAAACAAACTTTAACTAAATTTTCTTTTTTTCTTTTTAGCGCATTTGAATAAAAGCTTGTTTTTAAAAAGGTTTTTGTACCTTAATTTTATTTTCCAATCAATTTGTAGTAGGTAGATAAATATGACATCTAATTAAAAGGTATATTCCCTGAAATGTTATTCCCGTTAAGAATTAAGTTATACGGTTATATTTTTTATTTTTAAAGCATTTATCTGCTAGACTCATAAACACTTTAGCGAACTAATAATTTCAACCACTTTTATCTAAAGAAAATTTACTACAAAAGATTTCAGGCGGACCGGGCAGCAGACTCGAACCCGCACTTTTCGCTATGTGGGCGAATGCACTAACCATTATGCTACCGCGGCCCTGATGGCCGTGTCAAATTTTCTCCAGCATTTCTTAGGCTGCAAGGCAGCGCCATCTCCTCGCATTGTAGGTAACCCACAATATCAAATGAATATCTTTACAAGGATAGCGAAGGATACGGGTTTGGGTCCGTACAAGGTCTCCCGCCGTAGATTTGCGAACCGATGGCTTAGCTTTTCGACATTCACAAGTGCTTCTAACAGCCTAGACTGAATAATCTATATTGAGTTTTGTTATTTTTTTAATTATTATTATTAATTTCACCAAATTTTAAGTATAAGAAGAGTCCGTTGTATAGACTGCCGAAGCGGCATTTAAATGTGCCACCCCAACCACACCCTGACCTTGCTCAGTCTGAACTGTATTTCCCAAATTGTCCATTAACTTAAGCTCGACCGACAACCATGTCAGTTCCATCATTAAACTCAGTTACAAAACAACCCAACGAAACTTGTGTTCTGAAATAACACGTCAATTTCCATCAATGACAGCTGTAAAGTATACACGGTAGGTAGGTAACTGTATGTAACCCACGTTCGAGGTATAGTGTCCGATGGTTAAATGTCATTCGGTGATT